GCCTCCCGAGGGGAGGGCAGGGCAGGGCAGGGCAGGGCAGGGCGCACCCGGCCACGCCGCCTCCAGGCAGCCCGAGCGGCCCTGAGCCGCTCCTGGGGCCGGTCCCAGCCCCTGTCTGGCACAGGGGCGCCATTCTGGCCCTGAGTCTCCTCCCGGGCCTGTCCCAGCCCCTGTCTGTGGCACAGGGGCGCCATTTTGGCCCTGAGCCTCCTCCCGGGCCGGTCCCAGCCCCTGTCTGGCACAGGGGCGCCATTTTAGCCCTGAGCCTCCTCCCGGGCCTGTCCCAGCCCCTGTCTGTGGCACAGGGGCGCCATTCTGGCCCTAAGTCTCCTCCCGGTCCGGTCCCAGCCCCTGTCTGGCACGGGGGCGCCATTTTGGCCCTGAGCCTCCCCCCGGGCCTGTCCCAGCTCCTGTCTGGCACAGGGGCGCCATTTTAGCCCTGAGCCGCTCCTGGGGCCGGTCCCAGCCCCTGTCTGGCACAGGGGCGCCATTTTGGCCCTGAGCCTCCTCCCGGGCCGGTCCCAGCTCCTGTCTGTGGCACAGGGGCGCCACTTTGGCCCTGAGTCTCCCCCCCGGCCTGTCCCAGCCCCTGTCTGGCACAGGGGCGCCACTTTGGCCCAGGCCTCCTGGGGGTACAGCAGAGGGAAGGGCTGCCCCATCTCTCAAAGCTCCCAGGCCCTTGCAGGGCTTCCTCAGCGACCTCAGGCCTCATTATGAAGTACTGACCTTTGTGTGGGGAGCTGTGCTGGGGGTGGGCTGTGGCGTCCCCACCCCGCTCCGCTCACCTGCCGGAGGCCGTGGGACTGAGCTCCATCATCTGCATCAGGGCCAGGGGACTTTGGGCCATCATCTGCCTCAGGGCTGCGGTCTGTGCCCCACCGGTGGCAGCCAACAGCTCCCAGCTTGCCTTTGCTCACAGGGCACCCTACTCATGCTTCTTCCCTGCATCTACTCTTCATCTACGAGACGATCAAAGGAACATCTCCGGCGGGGAGCACGATGGAACACGCAGATGGGTCCCGGCAGCTGTCAACAGTTGTGCTTGGGAACAGTTCCAGCCTCAGAGCCTCCCTGAACCTGGTACTCTGGCCATCAAGGCAGTCACTGAAGACAAATTGAAGACGATACGCTAAAAGCAGTAAGTTAATCTTGACTGTGTACAGTCCTCGAAGTGTTCCCACAGGTCTCCTGAGGCCACAATCCTGACTGCTCACATCATCCGTGCCTTGGACTTCTGCTGGCACCTGAAGCCGCCCAGCGTGCCTGCACTGCCTGGATGACTTACACCCGCAGGGACCATCACAGCTCTGCGCACACACATCCCACACAGCGTCACCCATCTTAGACACTCTCTCCCCACGTGCCAGCCTGTGAACAGGTCTCCTCGTCCAACTGTCATGGCTGGGGCAGACGATGGAGCCCTCGTGGCCGTGGGTGCCACCTCTTCCTGGAAGGACATCTGTGCCCTTCTCCACAGGCAGGACGCACAGAAGCTTTGCTGAGTTATTCTGAAATGGGTGCTGGGTGGCCCGAGGAAGAAGCACAGAGCTGTACGCGACACAGGATGGAGTCGTCGCTGGAGGCACCCAACTCGATGCTACTTTGGGACTTGACTTCCACGAGGGCCGGCAGCTCAGCTGGAAGCACGACGGGCAGGTGAGTGCTCTCTCTGAACCATTCCTCGGCGTGAGAAATGGGGGTGCTGGTGACTTTGGGGGCTCCCGAGGAGCATGGTGCTGGCAGTTCTGATTCCAAGAACAAACCCAGCCTCCAGCTGCGGAGGGAGTCCTCGTTTAGACCAGGTATCCCCCCTCGTGTGTGACCTCCAGGTTGGCAGGGGCACCTCCCTCCCAGGCGGCCATTTTAGCACCTGCTTGGCTTTATGCCCGCGCTGGAAGATGGCCTCGTACACCACCTTGGCAAGTGCTGAGCGGGAAGGCAGCTTCTGGAGCACTGCTGAGTGGGCACCGGCACTGACCTGGGGGTATTTCTGCGGTGAAGAGTGAGCAGGTATGACACGGTGTGTCTGCGCTCCGTGCCCTTTGGAAAGGCCATTATCTTTTAAGTCCTTTCTGTGTCCCCCTCGCCGTGGGGTGCAGATGACGGCGTGGCCTTATCCGAGAGTATCTCTGAGCGTATCGCAACATGTGCGTGGTAGAAAAGAGAACACTTCATTTTCCACTCTAGGGGAGGCTCAGGGGGAAGATAGAGAAAATGAGGCCTGCGATTTAGAAAGCTGAAAGTTTTATGGGGGGTGTAGGTGTGGCCGCTTGCCCCACAGTGCCCGTTCCTCGCTCCGGGCCAGGGCACCCTCCCTGGGCACTTGCTCTGGTGGCACAAGGTTGACATTTATGGCGCTTTTACTTTTCTGTTACTGCTTTTAGGTTTACACTTTCATCCCTAGGCCCGGCAGAGGAATGTGGGTGCGAGAACGCCTCTTGTTCGCCACAGGGCCTCTCAGCGAGGCGAAGGGTGAGACACGGGGAGCCCTGGCCGTCCGAGGCAGCACCCCACTTGGCATTTGTCACCCCTGGGCCCCGCTGCTTGTCCCCCACCTGCGCCGCTTCCTCCCTGTGCTCCCTCAGCCCTTTCCCATCCACTCCCACATCTGACTTTGCAGGAAGCCTTCAGCGCACCGTCGCCAAAATAAAAATTAAAAAACACCTTGTAGGATGATGCTTTGAATGGAGTATTTTTTTTAAAAAATGGTTTTGTATGTTAAAATCCACTCATGTGGCCTTTCTGCGCTTACAGAACATACTGCACAGTCTTACTAAGGACAAAGCCTCACCGATGCCACGACTGCAGTGGTGGGCTACAGCACTCAGCATTTCCAGCTGGGCCACGACTGCTCAGTTCCACAAAGCTGATGATGAGGAGGCAGGATTTAGGAAATTCATCACCTGAAAGGTCTAACCGAGATGGCCCTAAGCCCTCCAATTACCAAGGCTGCCCCCGCAGTGCTGCTGCAGCACACCTATCCATGTATTTTCCCGGTGAATGTGAAGCATCCCTGGTACCTACTGGCCTTTTTCCAAATCCACTCTCTTCTCCCTGACGGACTAAGGTATTGCATCCCTGCTAGAACTATGCAGTATGTCCTAAAATGATGACATTTCGTTTTAATTGAAATCAAACACGCTCTTCCGCTAGGGAATAAGAAAGCAAACCAAATTTTAATAGGAACTCACAGAAGTACAGAAGAATATTTTTCTCCCTCCTATATTGTCTTTCCATGGAAATCTGAGGACAAATACTTTTGAGGCAATAGATGAAACCTGTTAGTTAAACTGTACTGATATTAGTGAGGTTATATTAAATGTTAATTAGGTTCCTTTGTTTCTGTGGAAATGAGACCGTACTGGATACACCTTTACTAAACGACACTACTTATAAACTTCACAGTATGTACCTATAGATTTAGCCTCTAAACCCAAGATGATTGATAAAGGGAGTCTAAGTCTACTCCAGAATAACCCCATGGATATTATTATTCTGGAAGAAGAGAGCTATTTTCTAAATTTGCTTTGTATGCTGTAAAAATTAGTTCAGATAAACCAGAGAGAGACATCGCTTTCTGTAGAGAAGCATCCCTGCAGAACGTGACTCTGGCACAACTCCTCTTTAGAGTCACATTCTGGTTTACTCTGAACAACGTTTCCTACTTAAATCTTAATACAACCTCTCAGAATTTCCCTCCAAACTCTCAAGCCATCAGTTCCAAACCCAGTCACATCTGAGAAGG